GTCACAAAAAAATTTGGTCAAACGGCTGAGAGTAGGGACAAATGAGGTGCACAGTTAAACTCCCAGCTGGCTCTGCTCCAACGCATGTATAAGGATGTGATTGTTGTGTTATTGATATTACAAGGATTCCTATTATATAGAAGAGGATTTGGGTAGTAGGTGAGGAGTAGGTGAGGGTAAATTGGTGGTAGGTGTAGTAGGTGTGGTAGTAGGTGGTGGTAGGTGTAGGTAAATTTTAACAATTATCTTATCCTTAATGCCCACTTTTCAAAGACAAAAAAAAATTTAAGTTTTTATTTTTATTTTTTTATATATTTAAGATAAAATTTTAACTAGAGAGGATCTTTTACTAATTTATAGTACTTACGGGTTTATATTTAATTTTTTTAATCCTTTTAGGGACTAAATAGTTTTGAATAAAATACTTTAGAGACTTAATAGATCCAATCAATAGTTTAGGGTTTAGGGACTTAGTAGACTCAATTGATAGTTCAAGAACTTAAGTAGACAATTTGGTGATTGTTTAGGGGTATAAAGTGTAATAAACCCATTTTAAAAGCATGAAACATGTAATGAGTATATTACCAATATGAGTATTTGTGTTGATTTATCGAAAAATAAAATAATTGATAAAAGAGTTCAAGAACTAATTAACAAAGAAATAGAAATTTGGAAAAATAGTATTATTAAGAATTATTAATTTGACATTTTGAGAAAAAGAAGAAGAAGAAAAGATCTATCAAGAAAATAATAGAAATTTTCTTAAGTCTAATTGAATCTATTGCGGGTATTTGATCCAATGAAGTAATGCAAGAACATATTCATTGTATTCAACATGGTTAAAGTCATAATCATTATCTTTGACATAAAATACAAAATGAATCGATGCATGTGTTAGAAATCAAATTAGTGTAAGATTATATTAAAAATTAAAGAAGAAAAATATTTTGAAGTTATACTTGATTTTTCTCTGAAGGCAAGTCGTCAAGAACAAATGTCTCTGATAATACGATGCATGGATATTTCTATGAATCTAATAAAAATGGAAATAACAACTTTGCAGTGTTCTTTTTAAAAGTCCTAATTATGATAGGGTGGAGGGATTTTGTTGTACAGGTCTTATTGGTCTGAAAAACTAGATATTGCAGAAAGATACTGATGATTTTTGGTGTTCTGCAGTGACTGCAAATGGACTTTGTAAGCAATTATGCTTGAGATTGTTTCCTCAATTATCTAGTGTATCTTTTGTCACTGAACCAAGCTGTGGATTGAAAAAATCTGCTGATGTTGGATCTAGCAATTCTGTTGAATGGGAAGCTCTTGAGATGGAACACAGGGCTTATGCCTTCCTAGTTCGAGCTCTTACAACATTCACACCAAAAGATTGCATAGCAGAGGCTATTAGTGCTTCCAGCACTGATAATTTTCCAGAAGAAAGCATTCAAAATACTCTAGATCCAAGGGACAGAGTTCTTAGGAGAGCCTCGTATTGGTCGAGCAAAGGACAAAGTGATCCTAGTGTGCCTGAAACACTAATATATAAAGTAACTGGCAATCTCTGTGTCATCACTGAAATCAGTGTACAACCTTTCCTAGGTAACTGTTTTCATATTTCCACAAATTCTTTGTAGTCTTCATCTAGCTCATACTATTTAGATGACTTTGATTGACAGTTAAATCTTTTTATTTCCAGCTTATTTTCAGCCAGGCTTTCCCATATACTCGGCGAATTCTGTTCGATTTCGAATGGGTCATCCTAGATCCCCGGAGGATGTGGAGAGTGATCCCAGGAACTTGCCATTGCAGCATCCTGCTGATGACAAGTTCATATGGACACACACTTCGCAAGAGTTTCCAATGACCCAGGTGAGTTTTTTAACCTGCAGAAGTTCTTTTTTCTTTTTTTGTCAGCATGGAAATGTGATTCTCTAGTTTAAGCACTCAACAGTGCTAGGTTTACCTCTTTTTTTTACACACTAATTTACACACCCATGTGAGTAGTGTGTAAATTGATGTGTAAAAAAAGAGGTACATATATCATTTTCCTTAAGAATTATGCCATTCCGTTATAAATGTAATTGCTAGAATATTTGATTGGCAAAGTCTATGACCATGTTTGGCAGAGTTTATATAACAATATTCTGTTATCAGAGTTATAGAAAAGGGGAATGCTATTGTACTGCACATTTGAAGTAGGTTAGCTTTGTGCCTTGATTTTAGGAACAAAGATACCACAATTTCTTAATATTATTCCTAACTAAAGTAAGGAAATCTATGTGATTTTCATTCCTTCCAAGACTTGTCTGACATACATCCAAACTTGTCCTATTATTTAAAAAATAAATAAAAATAGAGGACTAAGACACTTGGGAAACATGTGCCTATCACTTAGACACACATGAAACATATTACAAATTTGAATAAAATAATTGTAACGCCCTCAAAATAACAACATTAAACCCATCAGATAAGACATGCATTTACATATAAACTAACCACATTCTTTTATTCATTAGAGTTCCATTACATAAGTATTACATGTTAACATCAAAACAAAATGCCTTACAGGCTTACAGCTTTCCAAGTTAACACTTGGTTACAAACAAATAGTACTAACTCGTTTACACAAAAAGCCCTTGGCTTGAAGTTACATGTAATACATCAAAAGTAAAACGACAAAACATGTCCGCCTCTAGCCTCCCAAGCTATGTTCTTGGAGGTGGCATGCTACCTGCACCTGAAAATGATATTCCCATATAGGGTGAGCCACAGCCCAGTAGAAATATACTAAACCAACCATGAACAATGCCTAAAATATTAGCAATTGATAGATGGCAAACACTGATACAATCACATAAATCATATATTTATGTCAAACGACTTAAAAGTCTCAATTACTTTTCATTTCCCCTTTTTCAACAGATAGGCATATAAGCACTACCCACATGCTCAACAGATATGTATCACAACAATATCCACATTCTCAGATAAGCAAATAAGCTATATCCACATTCTATAACAGATATGTATAACAACAATATCCACAGATAAGCATAAAAGCTATATCCACACATCACAAAGATAAGCATATAAGCTCTATCTTCACTTCTAGACAAGCATATGAGCTGTATCTACGGAGTTCATCCCCTATCTTCTCCCAACACTAACCGGTTTAGAGGTACATCCCCTATCTTCCCCTAAACCGCGGAGTACATCCCCTATCTCCTAGAAGGAATGGGCGTGCTAGATTGCCTAAGAAAGAATAATACAGAGTAGAAGTTATTACAAAGTTTTCTAAAGGAGAAAAAGGAGAACGAAAGAAAAATTACCAAGTACAGACACTTACTTGGACAGAGCGCTGGAGCATGAGAGCATAGTTTTCATATTCGCTCAACTCGGTGTTTCGGTTGAGATCGCCGGGAAGAAGCAGAGTGGTACTAAGGGCGATGCCGACATTAATATCATCAACGCTATCATTAGCCCTAACTGGCTTATCCTCCAGTGTGATTTGGGGGGCCCAGGTTGTAGCAGATAACCTCAGGATCTGAATAGTACGCTCGGACTGCCCGTCAGTCTGAGGATGATAAGCCGTACTAAAGGTCAACTTAGTGCCCAGTGCACTCTCCTTTTGTAAAATTACACAAAAGCCCCAAACTTTCACAAAATTACCAAACCAAGCCCAACATCTCAAAATACCAAAATTTAAAGACAAAACCCATAGAGAGGAGTGGGATATCCCTACCTCGAAGTTTGAGCCAAAAAGGAGATGAAGACTCGAAGATCAACTTGCTCCAAATCCAAACTTTTTCAGATTAAATCGAAGCTCTCAACGCCCTCTATCTTTTTAACAAAGGCCCTAGGCTAGATTCACACTCTAGGAGGATCAATTCTTAGAGAGAGTGTAAGTTTAGAGAGAGAGGGTCTCGGATCTAGGGTTTGAAAGAAAAAGAAAGTGAAAAAGTGAAGTTCAAAATCGCTACTGTCCGCTGATATAAAACACTCTCGCTCGAGCGAAGCCTTGGTCGCTCGAGCGACCAGACACAGAAAACTCTCGCTCGAGCCAAGAAGTTCTCGATCGAGCGAAGAAAAATCCAGACCGCTCGAGCGAAGGAAGCTCGCTCGAGCCAAGAAAGACAGCTCTCAGGTCCAGAACCAGGTGCAACCGCTCGCTCGAGCGAGCCACTCTGGCTCGACCCACCAAATACGAACCCCACTCTCGCTCGAGCGACCAACTTCTCACTCGAGCGAAGGTCCAAAATTCTGGGCAGCAACACTAGGCTCCAGAACACAACCAACCTGTAACAAACCTGCCCAACACATCCTATAACTCAAATATGAAGAAAAAGGAATGTAAACACGATAATAACCAACTAACAACATCCACGGACACATGTCCGGATCACTGTACAACAAGGGTAAACCCGGGATCGCTATAATAATTGAAACCCAATGACGGATGAAAAACAACACAAATTTATACTTATTCTTTCCTTTAAATTTTAAAAATTATTAAGTTTGTATTAACTATTCATATATACAACATAAAATAATTGTTTATCATTATATATGCTATATAATAAATATATAAAATTATATATTTTTTACATCTCCCACTTGTTATGTCTTACATTTTCTTGAAATTTTGTGTCAACATGTCTATGTCGTGTCATGTATCTGTTTCTTAGACCGCGACAAAGCCCGTCTGCAAACTTCTGCCACCGCCACAAACTCCTTCACCGTTCAGATATCAACTACGAAATCAATAATATGCGTGCAGATATCAACCATCGACACCAAAGTGTTTCTTTGGAGAACCACCATTGAACTGATCTAGCATCCTGGTGGATGGATGGTGGCCAGTGTTTTGGGGTGGTCATTGACGGTAGTAGGGGTTGGGGTGGTCAGGGAAAGGTGAGGAAGGGGGTGACAGTGGCTGGCTGGCTGGTCGTGGTTAAAGGTATGGTTAGGGTTTGAAAGCTTAAGAAGGTGTGGTTTTTTTGACATAATGTGTTGTGTACTGAGCAAAATATTAGATTTCAAAATCATTTAATGTGTATATTGAGAGATGTATACTAAGAGTTTTTGGTGTGTGGAAATAGTAGCTCCCTCAAGTTTTGTTATATCGTAAGGGTGGATTGCAAAAACATAGATTCTGTCTACCAAAAAGCTTTGACTAGGAATGGCAGTATAATGAAATCAGTATGGAGGAGGTCCCTACAACCGATAGAATCAATGGGGATGTCAGTATAATATATACCCTTTAGACTATCTATTACAATTAGTACCTGTTCCTGTGATGTAATTTAGTTGCTTTGTTCGTATGCCTTATTTAAAAAAATTTATTTTCCTCTGGCCAAATGCTTGTGTATTCGTCTTAGAATAATTAAATGCCGAACTAACTTTCCCGCAAACAGGAAAATTACTTGCAAAAGTTTCAGCTGCCAGAACCTGTTATTTGCATTGGTGGATTTTTACAAATTGAGCTGCTGGGTAGAGTTCAGAGACAAGAAATGGATGGCTTATTCTATATATGGTTAGTCCAATACATTCCTTATATATATATACACACAAATATTTCAACAAGATAGTGTGATATTCATTTTTGATTCAACCGTGGGCTTTTTCATCCAATTAGCATGTTAGTTTCTCTTATCATGTCCATATATAGCCCTGTAGAATAGTAAACTGTAATGGTATTATTTTTATAGTTAAGCATTGAGCCTGTCTGAATAGCATTCAGAATCTTGCATGGTATAAGGTTCAGTCGAGATATATTCGTATCGGCATTGGTTTTGCAATAGGTATTAGCTTTGGTTGGTTGGCTGGTATGCAATAGGGTTTGAGAGGAAAACGTAACTGATAAAACTTCTGGATCTGTTGTTACTTAAATGTTCCTTAACAATAAACCGGTTTTGCCAATACTGATTCCTTGGGAATGTTGGTTCTAAGACCAATACTATTACTCTAAGAAGCACGGACACGGACACGGACACGGATATGGACACATGACATGGCAATTTTCAAAAGATGCAGGACGTGACACGTGGAGGACACGCATAGAATATATCATTCTAAGGCAATAAATAAATGCGATATAACACTATCATATTCTAAGTTATTTTGTTCGAACTTATAATTAGTTTTGTGTGTTTAAGCAATGAACACATGCGTTTAAGCAGTGGACACATGCGTCCTTCAAGTGTCCAGATCCATTTGTTTTAAAAAAAGGACACATTTGCATGTGTTGGACGTGTCAGGAAAGTGTCTGATGAGTGTTAGTGTCCAACACAGACACGCCACCCTTTTAGAAGTGTCCGTGCTTTTTAGTTAGTACTTAACTTTGGAGAATTGCACTACATTTGGATACATGGGATGGGGACTGAAGGGAAGTATAGATTTGTGTAACCAAAAAACGCTAATATCTTAACGAATTACGTATTGGTACGCACGTTTCAAAACATGGTACATTTTCGTTCCAAAACAGTAAATTTAGCGATTCGAAGCAATCTCAAAAGTTTTCCAATATATTTCTGTAAATGTTACATTTGGAGGAAAAAAAATCAAATATAATGAGCTAAAATTGAAGGTGACTTAAGTTTTTACAAGACAAAAATATCTAAAATTTTATATGCTTTATTGGATGCCTAATAGTTAGAAAATTGCTCTAGAAGTACCTTAAATTGTTAAATGTATCGTACCACAATTTAGAGTATGTAGTGTGCCACGTTTCTGTTCCCGTCCCCGTTCCACGTACCAGAACAATCCACGTTCTAGGTAACATATGTATAGATCATGAGCAGGAGGGAAGGAGAAGGAAAGGTAGGGGAGTTACCTCTCTTCTTGTTTGGTCAGACAATAAGTTATGGGTACAATTACACCATTAGTCCCTGTGCTTGAAGTGAAGTGTCATTTTAGTCCTCTTAGTTTTAATTTGAACCCTACACTTTCAATTTTGTTGCAATGTAGCCCCTCCATCACTTAATGTTACATTTTGGAATGGAAAAAGGCCATGTGCAAAACTAGAAGGACAAAGGTGGAACTCAAAACAGCTATGGGGACAACCAATATATTACACTACTACATAGCCTGTTTTGAATTTTATTTTGGTTCCTCTAGGACCAAAGTGAGATTTCACTCAAACTAGAGGGACTAGTGGTGTAATTTACCTATGAATTATAAAGGGAAGGCGATGCAGTTGCCAAATAGGTAAAGTTCATAAAAAATTGTATTTATCTTGTCACAAAATGAGAGGAGAAAACAGCTTTTGCCAATTAAAGCCCCCAAACTAGCAAAGAGCAAGATAGGGTGACCCCAAAGCTTGACTTTACTAAACAAGTGAGAAAAGTGCTTTCTATCTTATTAATAAAGCGCTAATGCCCCTTGGAAAGATTGTTCGTTAGCTATTAGATTAGTGGGAGACAAGTCTTATCCACCTAATCACAATTTTGATTTTTTATTGGCTGGTGTTACCGTTACACTCCATATTTATTCCTTCTAGAGGGAAAGGGGCAGTGTTCAAATTGTGGGCCTTTTTTCCTTTCACAATTCCTCTGAATACTTCCCTTCCCCTTCTTAGAAATTATCCAAACAAGGTGAATAGTAACCCTTCCCCTTCTTAGAAATAATCCAAACTAGGTAAATAGTAGCCCTTCCCCTCCGTATATGCATCATTTTCCCCACAAACCCGCAGATCCAATCGAAGTGTGGTGTGATTGGACAAGGTATTATTGTTCTTGACTTGGAGGAACCTTCTCGACTCACTTTGCTCTATTCTGTCCAGTTTGACATGCTATATTTTTTAGGCTACAGCATAAGATATTTTAGATTAATGTGATCGATCACCACTGTTTATCCTATTAGAAGAAAATTTTGTAGATGATCATTACTAGCTCTTAATCTTTTGTTTTTGTTTTCACTTCATTGGTGTGTTGCAGTGTTTCTTATGTTGAAGTTATGGGGCAGTCACTATTTCCAGCATTTGATGTTAAAAATATTGAACCCTCTGGAAAGTTATTGTTGAAGTACAATCCGGAGGTTCAACATTGCGCTTCATCAATCTCTTCTTACCGTCAACCTCTTGCAACCTCGCCAAACATGTTGCGCGATAACTTGAGGGGTTTGGAGCTTTTGTTGAACATGTTGCACGGAAATGCACCAGATCATGAGCACAATGACTGGGACGATGACGACGACAATGACAATGATCTAGACTTGGTTCCTATGTAAAATCCTTTACCATTCTCTCTCTCTCTCTGAGTCTCTCAGATTGTACAGCCATGCCGCTCCATCCAGGGTTTAATTTCTGGGCTGCTGGAAACCCATAATTGAGAGTGCGACTCTGCTGCTAGACTTTTTGTTCTTTATAATCTACCTGTTTTACTGTTATAAAACCTTTAATGGCATAGTTATATGTATCAAATGGTTCAACAATTGATTTTTTAGCATTTTTTTTGGATATTTATTTATTTTTATGTCTTTGGTAAACTTTTTTTTTAATTTAATTTGATTTAATTTATTTTAAAAAAAAATCACTCTTAGATTGAACGATTTTTGGATAATTTAATTTTAAATAATAATAATTATTTTTTAAAATTTTGAAATGCTTCTATGCTCAAATGACTTCAAAAGTAAAAAATGTAAGAAAAATGTGGCTTCATTGGGCTTCAGCCTGTACCCTCGGTGACTTGGCCTAGCCTGACTTGAATGAGATTGGGCTTGGGTCTATGCCTAGGGTTTGAGACTTGTCGCGACTATTCTCATTGGTTTGCTTTATTGGCTTATGAGAGATAGTCTCATTGTCATTCTCGTCGGTCTGTGAATATGCCAAAAGAGATGTCTGTCGCTCTGTGAATATGTCAAAAGTTTAGCAAAAAAATAGAAAAATAATGAAAAAAAAAAAAAACTCTAAGCTTGGCCTGTTGATCTAAATCTACTGATTAGCTTGTGAGCTTGGCTCAGCCAAACTTGGGTTGTTTGGGATAAACTCATTGGATAGGACAGGACTTAGGTTGGCTTAGTTTGAACCTATTAGAAAAAAGCCTCCTGGGCTTAGCTCATGGGTAGACTTGAAGTATATTTTCGCAACGTGGTTGGAGGTCAATACCTCTCTAAAGAAAAAAGCTAAAAAATTCTAACTAAAATTTAAGATATAAATAAAATCTCATTTTTAAAGAATTTTAATATTTTAAATTCTGTTATTATTATTATTATTATTATTATTAAAATTTGTTTATTTATTTTATATAGCTTTGCTTATTGACCGAACATATGGGTTGAAGATCCTTGAATCCTGCTGTGGTGCCCCAGGGGATTTTTCTGGGACTTTTTGGTAATTCGAATAATTTATTTTGTAAAATTTATTGAATATATTATTCATATAAAAATCAAATTAATTGAAAATCCACAATCCCATGATCCGATTCTAATTGTTTTAAAAAAATTATTAAGATCACATTAACTGTTTATTTTTTAAAAACAAATGTGCTCTTATTATGAGACTACAAATGTCTAATTTACTTGATTTTTTGCACGAATGATCTATTTGACAAATCTTACAATATGAACAGTTCGGATTATCGAAAAAGACTCAGAACACGCCCCCAATAGACCTTACAACAACCTACTGTGCCTTAAGGTACAGCGGAACCCCAACTCCGCTCAAATCCCTAGTCACCAATTCTCTTTATCATGTTTAGAGAAACTCATGATGTAGTTGAAATAATTTGAGACATGAGGATAAAGGATAATTGGGATATAATCCGATAGAGCATTATGTGTGCACAGAGCAAACCCACTTTGCAATATGCCGCGGTAATTTGCTAAAAATAGATAAACAATACGAAATGAATTAAAATGCATGCAAAATGCAAGTAATGTTAACAAAACAGTTCGACGAGGTGCGCAAGATAGCGCGACAAAATGCATGCAAAACGCAAGTAATGTGCACAAAACAATGCGATGAGGTGCGCAAGATAGCGCGATAAAATGCATGGAAAATGCAAGTAACGGTCACAGCGCAAAATAGCGCGATAAAATGCAAGAAAAATGAAAGTAGTGTTCACAAAACTGCGCCATGAGGTGCGCAAGACAGCGCGATAAAATGCGTGCAAAATGCAAGTAATGTGCACAAAACAGGGCAATGAGGTGCGCAAGATAGCGCGATAAAATGCATGCACAATGCAAGTAGTGTACAGAAAACTGCGCAATGAGGTGCGCAAGATGGCGCGATAAAATGCATGCAAAATGCAAGTAGTGTGCACAAAACTGCGCAATGAGGTTCGCATGATGGCGGGATAAAATGCATGCAAAATGCAAGTAGTGTGCACAAAACTGCGCAATGAGATGCGCAAGATGGCGCGATAAAATGCATACAAAATGCAAGTACTGTGCACAAAACTGCGCAATGAGGTGCGCAAGATAGCGCGATAAAATGCATGCAAAATGCAAGTAGTGTGCACAAAACTGCTCAACGAGGTGCGTAAGATAGCGCGATGAAATGCGTGCAAAATGCAAGTAATGTGCACAAAACAGGGCAATGAGGTGCGCAAGATAGCGCGATAAAATGTTTGCAAAATGCAAGAAATGGGCAGAAAACAGCGCGATAAGGTGCGCAAGATAGCGCGATAAAATGCATGCAAAATGCAAGTAATGTGCACAAAACAGTGCAATGAGGTGCGTAAGATAGCTTGATAAAATGCATGCAAAATGCAAGTAGTGTGCACAAAACTACGCAATGAGGTGCGCAAGGTGGCACGATAAAATGCATGCAAAATGCAAGTAGTGTGCACAAAACTGCGCAATGAGGTGCGCAAGATAGCGCGATAAAATGCATGCAAAATGCAAGTAGTGTGCACAAAACTGCTCAACGAGGTGCGCAAGATAGCGCGATGAAATGCGTACAAAATGTAAGTAATGTGTACAAAATAGTGCAATGTGGTGCGCAAGATATCGCGGTAAAATGCATGCAAAATGCAAGTAATGTGCAGAAAACAGCGCGATAAGGTGCGCAAGATAGCGCGATAAAATGCGTGCAAAATGCAGGTAATGTACCAAAAACTGTGCAATGAGGTGCGCAAGATAGCGTGATAAAATGCATGCAAAATGCAAGTAGTGTGCACAACACTGCGCAATGAGGTGCGCAAGACAGCAAGATAAAATGCGTGCAAAATGGAAGTAATGTGCACAAAACAGGGCAATGAGGTGCGCAAGATAGCGCGATAAAATGCATGCAAAATGCGAGTAGCGTGCACAAAACTGCGCAATGAGGTGCGCAAGATGGCGCGATAAAATGTATGCAAAATGCAAGTAGTGTTCACAAAACTGTGCAATGAGTTGCGCAAGATAACGCGATAAAATGCATGCACAATGTAAGTAATGTGCACAAAACAGTGCAATGAGGTTCGCAAAATGGCGCGATAAAATGCATGGAAAATGCAAGTAGTGTGCAGAAAACAGCGCAATGAGTTGCGCAAGATAGCGCGATAAAATGCATGCAAAATGCAAGTAGTGTGCACAAAACAGCGCAATGAGGTTCGCAAGATGGCGCGATAAAATGCATGCAAAATGCAACTAGTGTGCACAAAACTGCGCAATGAGGTGCGCAAGATAGCGCGATAAAATGCGTGCAAAATGCAAGTAGTGTGCACAAAACTGCGCAATGGGGTGCGCAAGACGGCGCGATAAAATGCATGCAAAATGGAAGTAGTGTGCACAAAACTGCGCCATGAGGTGCGCAAGATGGAGCGATAAAATGCATGCAAAATGCAAGTAACGTGCACAAAACAGTGCGACGAGGTGCGCTAGATATCGCGATAAAATGCTTGCAAAATGCAAGAAGTGTGCACAAAACTGCGCCATGAGGTGCGCAAGATATCGCGATAAAATGCGTGCAAAATGTAAGTAATGTGCACAAAACAGTGCAATGAGATGCGCAAGATACCGCGATAAAACGCATGCAAAATGCAAGTAGTGTGCACAAAACTGCGCAACGAGGTGCACAAGATAGCGCGATAAAATGCGTGCAAAATGCAAGTAATGTGCACAAAACAGGGCAATGAGGTCCGCAAGATAGCGCGATAAAATGCATGACAAATGCAAGTAGTGCGCACAAAACTGTTCAATGAGGTGCGCAAGATGGCGCGATAAAATGCATGCAAAATGCAAGTAGAGTGCACAAAACTGCGCAATGAGGTGCGCAAGATAGCGCGATAAAATGCATGCAAAATGCAAGTAGTGTGCACAAAAGAGGGCAATGTGCTGCGCAAGATAGCGCGATAAAATGCATGAAAAATACTAGTAGTGTGCACAAAACTGCGCAATGAGGTGCGCAAGATGGCGCGATAAAATGCATGCCTAATGCAAGTAGAGTGCACAAAACTGCGGAATGAGGTGCGCAAGATAGCGCGTTAAAATGCGTGCAAAATGCAAGTAATGTGCATAAAACAATGCAATGAGGTGCGCAAGATAGCGCGATAAAATACATGCAAAATGCAAGTAATGTGCAGAAAACAACGCGATGAGGTGCGCAATATAGCGCGATAAAATGCATGCAAAATGCAAGTAATGTGCACAAAACTGTGCAATGAGGTGCGCAAGATAAAATGCATGCAAAATGCAAGTAATGTGCACAAAACTGTGCAATGAGGTGCGCAAGATAGCACGATAAAATGTGTGCAAAATGCAAGTATTGTGCAGAAAACTGCGCAATGAGGTGCGCAAGATGGCGCGATAAAATACTTGCAAAATGTAAGTAGTGTGCAGAAAACTGCGCAATGAGGTACGAAAGATAGCGCGATAAAATGCGTGCAAAATGCAAGTAATGTGCACAAAACAGGGCAATGAGGTACGCAAGATAGCGCGATAAAATGCATGCAAAATGCAAGTAGTGTGCACAAAACTGCGCAATGAGGTGCGCAAGATGGCGCGATAAAATTCATGCAAAATGCAAGTAAAGTGCACAAAACTGCGCAATGCAAGATAGCGCGATAGAATGCATGCAAAATGGAAGTAATGTGCACAAAACTGCGCAATGAGGTGCGCAAGATAGCGCGATAAAATGCGTGCGAAATGCAAGTAATGTCCCTAAAACAGTGCAATGTGGTGCGCAAGATAGCGCGATAAAATGCATGCAAAATGCAAGTAATGTGCAGAAAACAGCGCGATGAGGTTCGCAAGATGGCGCGATAAAATGCATGCAAAATGCAAGTAGTGTGCACAAAACTGCGCAGTGAGGTGCGCAAGATAGCGCGATAAAATGCGTGCAAAATGTAAGTAATGTGCACAAAACAGTGCAATGAGGTGCGCCAGATAGAGCGATAAAATGCATCGAAATGGAACTAGTGTGCACAAAACTGCGCAATGAGCTGCGCAAGATGGAGCAATAAAATGCATGCAAAATGCAAGTAGTGTGTACAAAACTGCGCGACGAGGTACGCAAGATGGCGCGATAAAATGCGTGCAAAA